ATTTAAGATCATTTTAGTGAAAGTTTCATGTTCCTATCTCATAGAATTTAAGAACAATGATGAATAAATAATTTTCGAGCAAAATTTAAATGGCCGGCTGAATATATTACCGCAGGAGCCGCGGCCGCGGAATTTAAATGACCACGTCAAAGGGTTAATACAATCATTGTATAAACATTAAACAACATTGGTGCCAGGACAGATCCCTGTGGAACACCAAATCTTACAGATTTTGATTCAGAGATTGTAGTAGTTGAATTACAAGTATGCAGCACAAATCTTTGCATTCTATTTTTTAAATAAGTCTCCAATCATTTCAAAATAGGCCCTTTGACTCCATACATCTTCAACTTTTGAATCAACAAATCATGACTAACACAATCAAAGGCCTTTGTCAAATCACATAATTTCATTTGAGTTTCATAAAGAGTTGTATAAAACCCATGCATATTAAACGAAAGTATTTGACAACTCTTGATGCACATCCCAAATACTAACTTTTTTCTAAACCCATTACATTTCACAACCTTGATATTAAAAATTAATTGAATGTATTTTGTGCATATAACATAAAAATACATGAAGGACTGAATTTTTCTTATTAAAAAATAATAACCATGTTACTATTTGCATCCGATGCATGTAGATCTATCCATACACACATACTCAGTTTACTATTTTTGAATCAGAGCTTCAGTCTCCCAGTATTTGTGTCTACTCCTTGTATTCTTACTAGTGTAACTTGTAACTCACAATCTAACACTTAAAGCGACTATTCTTTATTGATAAAAAATAAAGGGGACTCACATTTTATGGCACATTTATAATCACAGAATTCGCAGGCAAATGGTTTCTCTCCAGTATGCATTCTGGCATGTCTTTTCAAATCTGAACTTGTCTTAAATGCCGATGAACATGAGTCATATGGACACACAAATGGATTATCACCTGAAAATAACAAAACTGTTTTACTTCACAATAATAAGACTGATAAAACTTTCCCTCATTGATAATTCATATTCATATTCATATTTATATTTATTTCAAGTTCAGTTGATCCATACATGAGTTGAAAGTACAAACTGTTGGATATAGAACGTGTCACAAAGTAAATACTAGTCTAAGTTCCCAATCATTGGAACAGAGTCAAAATACCCGATAAGAACGATATATGATACAGTACACACATTATTAAAATTTCATTTAAATACAATAAGATAAAACCATAAATTAAAAGTACCAGTAACATATGTATTCAACAATGACTTTAACATGAAGTAAAAAAAAAAAACAAAAAACTAATTACCCTGAGGAAAGTGTCACAACCATCACTTAAAAGCTACAGTATACCAAAGAAACAACCTATGACCACACTTCACATCCAACAAATTGGTTATACCAACCACTGGTCTATACAATACATTCCCAGAATCATGATGCATAACAATAGTACTGTAAACCGTCCTACATGTACCAGCCCCACCAATTCCTCAATAACAGAGCCAGCAGTGGTTTATGAGATGAGACTAGCAGAAATTACATATTAATAATCACACATAACAACTGATTTATTGTAAACAAGTTGTGAAGCAATGACCCTCTCTCTATATAAAAATTTGTCAGACAGTCTCAGAATTCAACATAAAGAAATCATTCATATAAAATTTACAGGAATGTTTATGATATATTCATATCTCTGTATCAAATATCACAATCCTAGCTGCACTGGTTCCTTAGTTATCGTAACAAATCTGATCTCTAAACACAGATTTAGCACTGGCATCATGTCATTTCATGTTCTACAAAAATATTTCTAAACAAACATTGCATTTTTAAAAATCTTTCAATATACAAAATTTCATGACTAAACATTAATCAGCATTAGTGCCACTACCACTGCAAAAATTCATAGGGTATTTAAATCTGTAAAGGTGAGGTGACATGATATCCACACCAAGTTTAACAAAAATAAGTAATTAAAAGCCAGTAGAAAAGGGACAAACATGACCACATGACTGATATTTTAATTTGATATGCAATTAATTCTGAATATCAGTTGCAATGAACAATTCAGGCATAACAACATGGCCAGGACTCAGTGCATGAAACATAGATTTGACCGTTAAATACATCCAGTACATGCTAGGTTTTCTGTCTTCACTAGCCACTGCCTGGTAATGTATCCCAACAATGTCCTCTGTTTACATCTTTACTAGCTGGTGATTGCCTCACAACTCATTAACTCAAATGTCAACTAACTAGTGGCATCAATAGCCATCCCTGCCTACTCAGTGACTCTCACTGGCCATCAACTACTGCAACTGCTGATGGCAACTCGCTATACAGCTTCAAGTCAGACCAAATAGACAACACTGTTTCAGCAGTTCTTCTACTGTTGTATATTTGTTTGTCATGTAAACTTCTTTATCATGTTGTTACCTAGCAATGGCAGTCTCTTCTTTTCTTTTTTTTTCCTTGGCACTACAGCCCCAGTGGGCCTAGGCCTACCTCCATGAACTTCTCTGTTCACTTCGGTTTTTCTAGATCTTAGACATATGGTAAGACTTCTTGGACGGGTGATCAGCTTGTCGCAAGGCCTCTACCCATACACAAACACAGAAAAACGCACACAAACATCCATGCCCTGAGTGGGATTTGAACCCACGATCCCGGCTTCCGAGCAAGCAAAGACAGTGTGTGCCTTAGACCACTCGGCTACCGTGACCGGCTGGCAGTCTCTTCTGGCTCCACTATTCTGGTCTTCAGCCATTAAGTCACAATATAACTTGGTGCATGTTTCATAACACTGATAGTACTCTGGGTAACCTTGTGACAGCTCATGGTTGACCTTAACACATATTTGTCTCTCTCTCATCTTCTGGCTCATTACTCTTACAGCATGATACTGCACACCGTGCTGTGATCATACTAAAAGCTTAAAAAGATCAAGAGCATCCATACTGATGCCCTTCAACATGACCTTGTGAAAGCAGTTATCAGAAAATTCTCAGAGTTCAAGAACAAAAAATTAACTTCAGAATCAAGACCAAGAAACTTCTTTCTCATTTTGATCTAAAAAATTTGAGACTTACACATACCTATTTAATATCCTACATTAAACAATTTCAGAAGAGTATTACCATGCTAATGGTTGTATACAAGGTTATCATCGCTTTTTTTGTGGGTCATGTAATGATGCTTTCAGTATCACTAATATATATAGTATCAAAGAGTACAATGACATATATGATGGACTGCAAAGGATTTGGAAGGAAGCAGTCATATTTCAATCAAGGTACTATGCAGCATTTGCCTTGAGAGACTGAGGAAAACCATGAAAACCCTCAGGCAGGATACCTGCTCTTTGCCGACATTTTAACAAAGCATTTCCTGAATACAAGTCTAGAGAGGTACCTCTACAACAATTTGTTCAATATCATTGTGTTGTTCTAAGGGAAAGCTATATTTATTTTAGCACTATATAAGGCAGGAAACACAATACTGTTACGTGTCTGGGGTTCCATGACTAATAATAACAGGTTCTGGATTGGATGATTGGCTTTACTGACACTTATACATTTACACAGTACAGAAAATTATAGCACTATCGCTGTTCTACACACTTTCAGTTCACCAGTGCACACGCAATAGGATTCTCAGTCTTCACTAGTCGTATCCTGGCAACAAATTTATTACTGTCTCACTGTAACTTCAAATCACACATGAAGTCTTCCTGGCACTAATTCCTTTCTTGCCATTTCTGCAGCTGCCAATTCCGAGACACTACTCGACTCAACTCGACTACTCTTGATTACTACTGTATACTCCACTGCTGCTGCTGCTGCTGCTGCTGCTGTCCTGCCAAACACTTCTCATAACCACTTTGCACAAACTTCACGGAAAACACAGCCTGCATTGTTGATGAAGCCTGTTTACTGCACTGTTGCCTAGCAACAGACATCCTATTGTTGCATGCTCCTGTGTTGCGGAATGTGCTTACCAACCTGTTGCCTAGCAATGGGTATACACATTACGACATGAATGTTTATCTCGTAAACAAAAAGAACTCATGGACACTGATTACATACCTAACCGCAGCACTGTACTTCAATTTGTCTGAAAAGTGGAAGGGTGAACATATACGAACATACACGCCTATACCTGTATGGGTCCGTAAGTGAACTGTAAGTTGAGATGAATCCCTGGATCTATATGGACATATCTGGCATCTGGAAATAAAAATGTCCAAACCTGTTCAAAATATTTAAATATTCCTCCAAAGTCATACTGTAAAAGCTTTAAAAATCTGCACAGGCACATAAAACATAAGGCAGTGAAGCATATACAGACTCACAAATTTACTGTCTCTTAAAATAGTAACAAGACACTCCAAACAAGATAGAAAATTTGTGAACAGTGCTAGCTCTGATACTGAAAAAAAAAAATGTTAAAGCACACCTCCTCATTGCCTACATTTCTAGTCTTACAGATGTATTACAATTATTATTATTATTATTATTTTATTCTGTATTTATGAAGAACTTACTATTTAAATACAGAATTCAACCCTTAACTTGTCAGGCATAACCTCCATGTTTCACACTGTTGACACACAGTGTGTAAGTAAGTTCATTATCTAGACAAAGACCAAATTTCACATGCCTAGCTTCAACGAATGATTAGTAATCTCCATCAAACTGAAAGCTAAAGAAATTTTTCCTTAAGGTAGTATGGTCTTCATTATCTGCAGCTGCAGCAACAGTGGCCCATGCCTCTTGGGCCTACCTGCCCTTTGACCTCCTGGCAGCAAGTACAGTCCTCTCAGACTGGCCCTCTAGAGGGTGAGGTTGTGCCCCTGGTGTACTGCAGCCATCCTCACAGACACCAATCTTGGACATGAACCTGTGTCCTTGCCCTGTACCATTCTTTCCTGCAGGCAGCCCTCAAACTTTGTCCCATTAGGCTATCTGCTGCCTACAGGGGGCTTTCCAACTGTATATCTTTCCCACATCGAGCCAGTATCACCTCACTTCTGTTCCCTGTACAGGGGAATGACTGTGGTGGTGCTCCGGTGCACTGTAACAGCATTTCTTCCCCACCCAATCATGACACATGGTGCCCTAAATCCACAGAGGCACAAGATATTCTGCTCTAGAATGAGCTCATTGGGGATCCCCACAACAAACACTCAGGTTCACAGAGGTCGCCACTCCAGTCAGCTCCAGCAGTGCCTCCATCAAGACTGGGATGGTCTCCTGTGAAGCCACCTGCAGGATGTATGGATATCTGGCCTGACAATGGTCACAAGGCATGATCTGTCCCCTATCCAGACCTTGCCATTTAGGTTGTCATCATCCCTTAGCTGACAAGCTGAGTATGAAATGAAGAGGTGGGGATAATAATGTTGGCAACATTTGCTTTGCATTGTCCCTGCTCAGTCCTCAGCCAACTTTCTCTAGGCAGTCCTGCAGGCATTCCTGTTGGTGGTCTCCCCTCAGGTGATCAACTTCCTCACAGTGCCAGCATACAAGTTGCTTAGTCCTGCAATGCTTGGGCCCCAGCAACCACAAGCCCATGGGCACTGCAACTCTTACTGCTCACAGCCTTGCTGGTTGGTGGTTCAGCTGCTGCCTTTGCAGCCTTCAGCTTCAGGGCCTGGCTAAGGGCCTCATTCAGCATCCTGTCACCACCCACAAGGAGTTCCTACATCATCTTTTTGTCCTTTATCTGCTCAACAAATGCAGAGGCAGCTTCCCTCTGCATGTGATGCTGGGACAGCTCAACTAGGGCCCAGCAGTCCCACTGCTTCATGGCAGTGGCAAACTCTTGCAGAGACTCAGTTGCTCAGCTAGGTCCTGGCTTTAAACTGGAAACTGTATGCCGCAGCTAGCTGGAGGTCCCCACAACGACCCTCAAACACCTCAACAATGTCTCTGTATGTTGCTTCTGTAGGGTCACTGTGTAGATGTCGGTGGCCTGCCACTGCAAGAGAGCGATCAGGCGCTGGCTTTCTCCCAGGCTGTCCAACTGTTGTGATCTGCCATGGTCCCACACTGGTGAAGACACGCAGTCCTGGGCATGGACCCACTGAACCTCAACAGATTTACCTTATCCATGCTGGTAAATGTGTTCCTGCCACCTCAATGCCCTGCTCTGGTTTTGACTTCTGCCAGATGCATCCTGAAATTGTACCACGTGGCTTCCATCAGCACCTTCATCATCCATTCAAATCTTGTCCCTTGGATCTCCGTGCTGAGTTCCTTGCAGAGGTTTGGGGTCCACTGCTCAATAGATGTCACAACACCTGCCACCCATTTGCTGACCATTTCTTCAAATTCGGTCTACACACACCAGATGGGATTTATCATGGCCTCAATTTCTTCCCGGCNTGTTGGCAACATTTGCTTTGCATTGTCCCTGCTCAGTCCTCAGCCAACTTTCTCTAGGCAGTCCTGCAGGCATTCCTGTTGGTGGTCTCCCCTCAGGTGATCAACTTCCTCACAGTGCCAGCATACAAGTTGCTTAGTCCTGCAATGCTTGGGCCCCAGCAACCACAAGCCCATGGGCACTGCAACTCTTACTGCTCACAGCCTTGCTGGTTGGTGGTTCAGCTGCTGCCTTTGCAGCCTTCAGCTTCAGGGCCTGGCTAAGGGCCTCATTCAGCATCCTGTCACCACCCACAAGGAGTTCCTACATCATCTTTTTGTCCTTTATCTGCTCAACAAATGCAGAGGCAGCTTCCCTCTGCATGTGATGCTGGGACAGCTCAACTAGGGCCCAGCAGTCCCACTGCTTCATGGCAGTGGCAAACTCTTGCAGAGACTCAGTTGCTCAGCTAGGTCCTGGCTTTAAACTGGAAACTGTATGCCGCAGCTAGCTGGAGGTCCCCACAACGACCCTCAAACACCTCAACAATGTCTCTGTATGTTGCTTCTGTAGGGTCACTGTGCAGATGTCGGTGGCCTGCCACTGCAAGAGAGCGATCAGGCGCTGGCTTTCTCCCAGGCTGTCCAACTGTTGTGATCTGCCATGGTCCCACACTGGTGAAGACATACAGTCCTGGGCATGGACCCATTGAACCTCAACAGATTTACCTTATCCATGCTGGTAAATGTGTTCCTGCCACCTCAATGCCCTGCTCTGGTTTTGACTTCTGCCAGATGCATCCTGAAATTGTACCACGTGGCTTCCATCAGCACCTTCATCATCCATTCAAATCTTGTCCCTTGGATCTCCGTGCTGAGTTCCTTGCAGAGGTTTGGGGTCCACTGCTCAATAGATGTCACAACACCCGCCACCCATTTGCTGACCATTTCTTCAAATTCGGTCTACACACACCAGATGGGATTTATCATGGCCTCAATTTCTTCCCGGCCAGCACTTTCATGGCTTTCATCTCTTCCTCACTGGCCTTCATTTTTTCTTGGTCAGCTTGCATCTCCTCCCGTGCTTCTTCTTTGTGAGCATTCCAGCCTGTCCATAATCACCTGCCATGTGATAATGATTACACAGAGGGTTTGCGTCAGACATGGATTTCTTTGGCACTAATTCCTCTTACCAACTGTTTACAGCATTCACAATCATACGCAATTAGCCACTTAAATCTTCTAGCATGATTCCTTGTTGCTATGTTACAAACTTAGTTACTTGTTGCACTGAGGTAGCAGAGTATTATTTTTTTATTGCTAGTGGGGTGGAACTAAGTCCCTTGTACTGTGGCCACTTCTGGCCTATTGTACCAGCCCAAGATGATAGGTGAGGGTGATTGTGGAGCAATTGGTGGAATGAAGATGGGGAGAGCGAAGTACTTGGAGAAAACCCACTCCAGCGCCACTTTGTCCACTACAAATCCCACTTGACCAGACCCGGGATCGAACCCAGGCCGCCGTGGTGGGAAGCCAGCAACTAACCGCTTGAGCTATGGTGTGAGGTAGCAGGGTAACTAGGAGTGGATTTAGATGAGAATTACTGGCCTGTTGTGCCCAGACAATGATGTTCTCAACACCATCTTAACTGTTGTGGCTGATGGGTGTTTGCACCTGTCACAATATTATGAAAGTTCTTGGGAGGAATCTTCACGATTATGTTTGGAGCCAGAATATCCTTACTAACTGAAAGAGAATGTGTCTTGATGAATTTCTATCTACAATACAAAAATGTTGTTAGAAAATGTCAATAATTTATTAAGGAGAGAGCATAATTTCAAACCAATGCTTGTAAATGAACATTTACATGAAATTATATGAGTCTGTCATGACAGTAGCTACCTATGACAATACACAGTGCCATAACCTAGAAAACTATGATCTAAGAATTATGTGAAATTAGTTAAGAATACCAATGTTCACTATTTTGAAAATCTGTCACAACAAAATACATATACAAATATGTACACTTAACACTTCACATGGAATGACATACAACCAAACTGAATATTTCAAGTCGTTAATGGTCGAAAGACTGCCCTCATGTATAAGTGACATATGTTTTACAACTGACTAGAGTACTTGACCATTAACCAATGAATAAAAAAGGCATGGGGATGATTTTAATAATGAGCACACAAAACAAAATTCTGAAATAAAAATACCTAGTCTCAAGGAATAAAAGATTAAAACGTAAGAAAAACTACCAGGATAAAAACAAGATGAAGTGTGTTAACAGAATTTAGCATAGTATTAGAGAAATTATAAAACCTGAGCTAAAGAGAGGGTAAGGTAATTGTGGAAAAGGCAGAATAAACCATGGTTTTAACACACAGTGTTCTAAATACATAGATCAAAGGAAGCAGTATAAATAAGAATGTTGCATTTCAGCATCCCACTGCATTGGTATTTCACTTTACACACTTACTTCTGTCTTTAACGGGACTTTGTTTACAATTACTCCGTAATTCAAATGACTATTAAACTCAAAATTAAACTGCTACATGTTTTGGCCATACTTGGCCATCCTCAGGTAAACTGTTGACTTGTTGTAACTGCTACACTATATTACTTCTTAAGTTAAAATATTACAATGTTACTCCATTTTCATCATTCACTCATTAAAATACATTTGCTTGAGTACATCACACTTTATCTTTATTTGCACTACCTTCTTCTTGTGGCATCTGTGTTTTTTGTGTTGTTTTGTGCAGCCCTATGAATACTGTTGTGGAGTTATTATTGTTATTTTTATGTGTCCCATTAATATTGTCGCGTATTGGGCGTATAACACGACAAATAACTTCACGCCGTATTTGATATAGCGAATTTTATTTCACATTCGCACTTACAATCACACAATTGACAGTTTTACAATTACTGCTATCTGCAGTATTACAAATACTACACTTTAAATGCCACATTACAACTGACTGGTTGCTGGCTAACTCAGAACTAACTCGAAGGTAGCTCGAGGACTAACTGTGAATAGCCTTCGCTAATCCTCATGTAGCCTCGATCGGACAATACAGAAAACGGCCACGTAATAAGCACCCTTGTTGCCTGGCGCTGTGTTGCTAGCAACGCTAGCGGTAGTAACCACTGTTACTACCGTCGTCTCTCGCAATCCTGGTTACCCGCGCTGCCTAGCAACCCGCGGTACCCTTGGTGACGTCATCNTTAAGGAGTAATTTTAAACAAAGGTGCATTAAAGATGAAAGCATGAATGTAAAGTATTTAGGTCATTCAAAATGACTGACACTCCCTCAATAACTCCAGAAAAGCAGCAGTGTCAAATGTGAGCCGGTGTATGTGGGAAGACACACTATAGTGCCGCCTATAGCCACAAGATGAGGTTGATACTGCACATAGGTTGATGAGTGCTGTGTCATTCGTGGCGGTAGGTGCAGTTGTGGACAACACTCAGACAACGTGGAAGCAGACAATTACGGGCAACGGTGGACTGTGTACTTACTCTTGAGGGAAGGAGTGGCTGCTTCACACATTCATATGAAGTTAGCAACCATATGTGAGGAAGCAGCACCAAGTCACAGAATCATGTTTTGCTGGATGGCAGAGTTCAAAGACAGCAATGACTGTGGGGAAAAAGGCAAAAGCAGTGGGTGTCCAGCAACACCATTCACACCAGACAGTACCCAGCACACATCTGACTTGATACTACAGAACAGCACATCACTTTCGATGAACTAGAGAAAGTAACAGGTTTGTCACATGGAACACTGCACACCATCATCCATCAGGACTTGAAGATGAAAAAGGTCTGTGCTAAATGGGTGCCCCATTCTCTCACCATCGCGCAGGAGCAGAAGTGTGTGGAGACATGCCAACAGTTGCTGCAGCTGTATAGCGGGGATCCGGCGGAGTTCTTTGAGCGTCTAGTCACCGTGGACAAGTCATGATTCTGGCACGAGACTCTGGAAAAGAAACGCCAGTCCATGGAGTCGAAGCACACTGGGAGCCCTCTTCCCAAGAAGTCATGACCAGAAATATTCATCCAGAAGCAAATGGCGACTGTGTTCTGTTGGACTGGGTGCCCCCAAGTATGACCATCAACAATGATTGGTACTGCAATTCACTGCGCCAACTCTGCCGACGCATTCAGCAATGCCGCCACGGCAGATGGGGGCATGGTGTTCTTCTCCAATATGACAATGCGCAGCCACATGGCAGTTGGCAGACGATTGCCACCATGAGTGCTCTAGGGTACACCGTGCTGTCTCATCCGCCATACTTGCCCAATCTTGCCCCTAGCAACTACGCTCTATACGATGCAATGAAAGCCATCATGAGGGATAAGACGTTCACCTAAAATGACAAGCTTCAGACAGTTGTCCAGCAGTGGCGCCGGGATACCCCCAAAGAATGGTTTGCTGTGCAAATGCTGAAAGTGCCAGAACAATGGCAAAGGTGCATACACATTGGCGAGGAATACCTCTAATATAATCTGAATGTATTTTGTTCCAATAAATGGTTACTGTGAAGAAAAAACGTTTAGTATCAATCATTTTTGAACACCCTTAGTAAATAATAATTGTTGCAGAATCCAAGTAAAATATGTGTGGTACACAGAATAAAAACATACATCCATCACTCTGAAAACTTACGAAACATTCCCCTGGTATTTGGAATTTCAGTTTTAAATCACATATACAATAATTTTATTTAAAGAAAATATTATATATTCATATTAAATGTACACTCACTTGTATGGACGCTCATCATTATGGATCCGCATATGTTTACGCAAACTACCACTGTCTATGGTGGCATAATCACACTGGTCACAGTGATGTGGTTTCACACCTGAGTGTATGCGTAAATGCATTTGCAATTTGTCACCACGGGTAAACGACCTTTGACATGTTTCACAATGGAATGGACGTTCACCTGGCAAACAGAAACATATGTACATTCAATCCAAAGTAACTACTCAAACTGGGGAATAATAAAACACGAGTTCCACAGGGGTCAATTTTGGGGCCTTTGTTTTTCATAATTTATATAAACAACCTCCCTCCTACTCTAAGAACCTCATCAATGCCTAGTTTTACCTGTGTGCCGCCTCATGTGACGAACCAGATCTTTCAGGTAGCATGTAGAGAAGCCACAACCATCAAATGTACAATCATGTCTCTTCTTGACACGTGACCTTGACATAATGGAAAACCCTACTGCAGGGGATGAGATGCCAGCTACACCAGCGGATACTGAACAAGGCACAGAGGGTGTGGTAAGTTGCAACTGGTCTTCAGTCACTTCTTTTCCACTTGCCTGAGACCAGAGTTTGTCTTTTAACTCCCCAGAAACAACTTTCCTTGCTGTGTTAACTGCAGGCTGACTTCCCTCCAAGTCTACGTTTGGTTTGTTGCTGCAACATTGTTTCTGCTCAGGTCCCAGTCCCAGTACCACTGCTGCTTCTCCTGGAAGACCCATAGACCTGAGGTCTGAAGATTCTCGCGACTGAGGTATAATCATTTCACTATCCATATTTCCTAAAACAAGTATGGGTGCTGTAGGAAAGAAATTAATTTTATATGATCAATCAGCCAGTAGTCAATCACAAAAGAGTAAACTATAGTTCTATTGTAGATTCTAAACTAGTTCCAGACCATGTGTTCGTGGGGAAGAAAATACTTTGATAAGTCTCACCAACTACAATAAGCCAAGATAAGGTTAGAAAACATAAAAAACGCTTATCTCATGTTGGATTTGAGATTCTCACAAGGGTGGCTATGAAGAGTTCTATCATCTGAGATGTAATACTGTGTAATCTGAGGAAAGTTGATCAATGTTTCAGATGAACACATTCCCCCACATCTTCAGGGTCAAAAAGTAAGCCAAGCACGAAGCAGGCCGCAAGCAGAGCAAACTGCATGTAGAAAAACACAGAACTGCTTAGGCTAGAATGGAACTTGAAACCTAACCAGCCCCCTTAGTATCAATATCTTTGAAATTCAAAAAAGAATCATAAGAGTTATGTCTGGTTCGGGCAAATTTGATTCATGTCGGGATTTGTTCAAGAAATTACAAATATTGCCACTCCAGTCTCTATATATTTTTTCCTTGCTTCTTTTCATTATTAACCCGTTGCCGTGGTTCGACGTGTATGTTTCGTCAGGGATTTAAATCGTCTGGGGGGGTTCGACGTGTATGTTTCGTCCAGCTGCACACGTATGTTATAACGCCCATAATAATTGATGGTTTTGCTGTAGATTGTTAGATTTTTCACTGGCCTGTTGTCAGGAGGACTGTATTTAATGACACACGCGTTTAAGAGCGCTAAGTCGTCGTTACATATGCCTGTCTTGCAGCAACGTTCCTGTGGCTATTGCGAGCTGTTTCTGTTATGAATGATGTGTTTT